ACACACACACACACACACACACACACACACACACACACATACACACAAACACACGCACACACACACACACACACACACACACAAACACACACAAGCACACACACACACACACAAGCGCAAACACACACACACACACACACACAAGCACACACACACACACACTCACTCGCTCACTAACTCACTAACTCACTAGCTCACTCACTCACGTACATGTACACGCAGACAGACAAATGCATACATATATATATATATATATACACATGTGTAGATATATATATATATATACGCACACACACGCAAGCATCTGTACACATGTAAACATAGGTAGATGTGCAAGCGCACTTGGTGGACTCATCGTGTAGTCTCTTGAGAAGATCAGGGAGATTCTGGGCATTTCTCGCAAGTACATCGTCGCAGAATCATGAGCCCGAAGCCCTACTTAGCCCTACATCTCAAACTCTAAGCCAGCAAACTGCAAGCTCTAAGATCCACAAGCTTCGTCCGAAGAAGCCCGTCAGACCCAGATCCCCATCTTGGCTCTTATTGGCACTTACGGTGCAGTGTAGAGGGTAGAGTATGGGTCTTTACCTAAACTCTCAAGTCTAAACCCTGAATCTTAGGCTTCAAGTTTTCCTTTTATGGGCCCTAAACCCTAAACCCAGGCTTGTTCCATGTTGGATCCGGTTCGCAGCATCCCCTCAGGTCACCACCGGAGCTTCAAGAATCCTATGCCCTAGATTGGTTTAGGGGGGGTTTACCTGGACCCTTACGAACCTCCCTTGTTAGGGTTACTCATTACGATTTCCATATATAGGTCCTTACAAAGGTAGGTTCTTTGGGTCTAGGTAGGGTTTAGCTAGCTATAAATCCCAAACCCTGCAAGAAGCCCATGCTCTGCTGAAAGCCCTGGCATTTGATACTACTGGGGCAGTATACTTCTTCCAAGCGGTCTATGCGGAGTTTTCATAGGGTCGTAGTGTTTGGGATAGGGCTTCACAGGCCTTTGTACGACTTTAAGGGTTTAGTTTATAATCTGAATGTCTGAGTCTAGCTTTACCCTCAACTGACGGGCCCAACCCGAAATGTGGAAGTTGTTGCAAGCAGGCCGCAGTCGACTCCTACTTTGTGCCAAGCATCTCTGTACCAGGCAGCACGTGTGATCTCTTCGCGGTTGAAATAGTTCATCTTTCAACAACACCGCCCTCCCCCCTCCGCCCGCTCCGCCCCAATTTTCCCCCTAAGCCCTAAACCCTAAACCCTAAACCCTCTCTGCTGCTTAGTTTGCCTGATGCGGTTAGATGTTGGATGTGCTGAGATTTGAGGATGCCATCCCGGCTCGGTTCCCCAAAGGCCCTAGGTTGCTGATGCGTTTGTGTTCGGATGTAATGATGCCTGGAGGCCACAGAATCCAAACCCTCGAGCCATAATAACACATAATACATAACATGAGATTCTGTAATGTAGCATCATATAATGTCGTGTATGTGTGTCTTGCCTTTTGCTTCAAGAATCCCAGGCAGGTTCGGGTTGGGATCGAATCAGCCGCTGGTGGTCAGTTCTCAAGATCGTGCCATGCAATGCCGTTTGCAGCTGCAAGCTTGAGTTCTGAAAACCGTAAGCCCGCCTAAGCCCAAAACCTTAACCCCATGCCCTAAGCCCTATACCCGAAACCCAAAACCCTACCCGACAGCTGGAACACCCCTATCCTCATGAGCCCAATGCCCGAAACCCTGGAAACCAGAAAAGTTGGAACATCGTTATCCTCTTATTCTCATGAGTCTCATGAGACTTATCTTACCCTAAACCTAGCAAGAAAAGCTGGAGCATCCTTATCCCCATGAGGCCTATACCCGAAACATCCCTAAACCCTAGAAACGAGAAACGACGGAGCATCCTTATCCTCATGACTATGAGGTCCCAACATACCTTGCTTCATGCATATTCCAACTTTCTGGCTTGGGGTTTAGGCTTAAGTGGTTAGGCTGATTGGGTTTAGAGGGTTTATGATTTAAACTTTAGGGTTGCGGGGTTCTGGGGTTCACAGCAGATCCCACGCGCCTAGGAATATGCTGCTACTTCTCGTGCTCTTCCTACCGTAGCTCTCTCCTGTCATCCCGCGTTGCATTCTCGTTTTTTTCGTTGCGTTGTTCTGTTTCCTGTCGTCTCAAATCTTAAGGGTGAAGATGCGAGGCTGTGGGAAGCCAAACTTGCTACCCCCCTGATCACCCAGTAGAGGGCGTTCCGTTAAACTGTAGGGTTTTCTTTCTTACAGTTCTTGTAATCAGAATCCTGCTGTTCATGATTCTTCATTGTTGTTGCCTTGTTTTCTGAAGCTCCTAAATGCAAAGAGTGACGAACCACGACATGAAACTCCCAGCATAGTAATAGTAATGCTGATAGTACTCGTAATAGAAATAGTTAAAGTAAGAGTAATAGCAAGAGTAATAGTAATATTAAAAAGAAATTGTAATAGTAATATCAAGAAGTAACTGTAATAGTACCACAAGGACAAACCAACAACAGCAGCTTTGTTAACATCGGCTCGAACATCAACGTTAGCAGCAGTGGTATCAATGACACCGAGACTCGCAACGGGGAATGCAGGAGCAAGTAATCTACAGCTTTACGGTTCTTTGCGCAATGTGGCACAAAGCCCTGGCCCTACTCTATTTGTTGAGGCCTTCTGTATCAGTAGGAAGTAGTGGTCCGAGCGGTCGTCGTCGGAAGAGGGACGCTGCTGAGAATATTGGAGACTCTAAAGCCCCGTAGTAATGCACTAAGCCTTATGGCACAGGCATCTTTAACGTGATTTAAGTTTATGTCTCTGGTTCTATGGGTTATAGATTATGGAGAGGTCCTGAACATGGCTTAAGGATACTTGCAGTATATTCCTCGAGTCACTGAGAAGTTGGTAGCAGGTCAGCAGCGGCTTCGCCCCCATGCGCAACATTCCAAACGTCTCTGTACCAGGCGGGTTCAGAGATTAGAGCTTAGGGTGTGGGATTTAGGGATCATGGAGGTCTGAATACTTGGTATTGGCATTCCCGAATACAAGTATTCTGTTCTCCAAACCCCAAACTTATGCCCCCAAACCTCAAACCTATACCCCCAAACCCCAAACTTATACCTGCAAACTCCCTACACCCTAAACCCTCAGCCCCATACCCCTAAGCCCTAAACCCTATACCTGAAGCCCTAAACCCTACACCCTAAGCCCTAAGCCCTAAACCTTAAACCCTACACCAAAACCCTACCCTTTTCTATTTCTTGACCGGGCCCTTGGGTTGGAGACTGAGCTCTGGGGCCTTAAGATGAAGCTTTCGGGCTTTAGGGCTTTAGGTTTACGGTTTGAGGGCTTTACGGCTTTAGGGCTTTGGGTTTAGGGTTTAGGGCTTTAGGGCTTCAGGGTTTAAGACTTTAAGGTTTAGGGTTTAGGGTTTCCCGAAAGTCCAGGAACTATTTCAAAGCCTAGACAAGGGTTTGGGGATACAGCGTAGTGCGTGAATGCATGTATGTATGAATGTATGTATGTATGTATGTATGTATGTATGTATGTATGTCGTACGTACGCAGGTATATATGTGTATATAGATACATAAGTCTGCATACATCGGGACTGTAAGGGAGCATTATTGTTAGCTTTTGAAGCTTGCTTTTTAAAAGGCTTTGGATATGAGGCTTTGGTTCGCAGGGTTCAAACCTGTATCTCACCGTTTAAAGCGATTGGGGCCACCGGGTTCAGCCATTGATCAAAATTCTGGGCTTGGGGCTCGCTTTGCAGGAGTTCGGATGGTGTGCTTCGTGTAGTACAGAGGCCGAAATGATGCGAGTTGAAGGTCAGGGTTGAGGGTTCGGGGTTTAGGGCTTAGGGTTGAGGATGTAGGGTTTAGGGTTGAGGATTTAGGGTTTAGGGTTCGGGGTTCAGGGTTTGGAGTTGAGGATTTAGGGTTTAGGGTTTCAGTTTAGGGTTGAGGATGTAGGGTTTAGGGATGAGGGTTAATACTCCAACCACCAAGGCTCCCCCACTTTATGGCCTAATTGTCGGGTTTAAAGGTTTTGGGGGTTGCACAGGCCATAGACACTTCCAGCCATAGACGCAGTCCCAGTAGTCCCAAGATGAAGCATCCCAACCCCCTGTATCCCAAATCTCAAAGCCTAAAGCTACACCCTGAACCCTAAACCCTAAACCCTAAACCCTAAACCCTAAACCTTAAACCCTAAACCCTGAACTCGAAGCCCAGAGCCCTCCATCCTGCCATCTTGCAGGCGTCGGCCTTCTGAAAGGTGGACACCGGCGCTGCCCACAGCGGGATTTTCCAAGAGCTATATGGGAGTTTCCGACAA